TTCGTGCCAGCAATCCCCTGCCAGTTGCTCCACGAGATGGGCTTCACCTGTGTGCACGCAATGGGTGTGCCGTCGGCGGAACGGCAGGGGCCGAGGGTATGAGCCGCTGGCTCACGTCGCGGTACTGGCGAGGCAGCGGCTTGGACATGAAGCCATGTGCACGTGCTCGCGCCGCCAGCGCGAGGATCGTGAGGGCAAGCGATCGGGGCGGCATGATGAGTTGATGTCTGCTGCCGAGGACCAATCGGGCCGAGGCCATTTGTCTTTGTTAGAGCGCCTTCGGCACCCTCTCTCGAGGTCTCAAAGGGTGGCAATCGCGCGACGCAGGGTCAGGGTGTGCACGGGTGGGAGGGGCCGGTTGCGGTTCGCCGCGCCTCACCCGGGCCTTGTACTTTGAATGCCGTGCCCGCGTGGGGCCTGCTGAGTGCTGTGACCTGTGTAAGGTGTGTGGAGTGTGCGCCTGCCAGACTGCCATGCTGTCTGCCTGTCTCGGTGCGGAGTTGCGGAGGGTTGCCCCCCCTTGCCCCACCATTTTTCTGTGTGAGAGTTCCTTCCGTTCCTTATTTTAGACCCACCCGGTGCAGGCCGGTTGTGCCCGCATGCCGCGCCTCACCGCAGCTTGTCCGGAGCCCACCGCAGAGGCTCCCTTGGGGATGCCTGAGGCCACCCCAACCACTCACTAAGTCGCACGTGCAAGCCTGGTACGTTGACCAATTCAACAAACACAAACATCTTCTCTCCCATTCAAAGCCACTTTTTCGTTTACCTACATTTGCTGGTAGGCGAAGTGTGAAAGCACGGTGGCAACCAAAACACACTTATGGTTGGCGCCCCTACGGCCCCTACGGCCGACGCGCCGATGCACGACCGGCCTCTCGACTGGTGGCGCTCGCGGCGCCACGCCGCCCATCCTTGGCCACGCGTTGCGCTGGGTGATCTCCCAGTTGCGCCTCGCAATGATGGCCGAGTGCTGCTGCAGGAGGCGCTTGCGCTCGTTGCGGCGCACCCGCCACTTCTCGCCGTCGGAGCGCGCCAGGGCGACCTTGGTGGCGAGCCCGGTGGTTTCTTTTCCTCGCGATGTCCACCCTGGATTCGGTACTTCAGCTTGGTATAGTATCATCGTATCCCAGATCATACCCCAGGGCTATACCCTGATACCCTCTTGAGAGGATCCGTATTGGGCCCCCC